GCCGAGACCATGAGGAAATTCAACATCAGGAAGGTGCTGGACGGCCTGACCGCCGGCTCGTCCTCCGCCTCGCAGCAGCAACAGCCGCCGGGGACGCGGGAGCCGGAGATCCAGGAAACGCTCCAGTCCGAGCACTTTCAGCTCTGCAAGGTGAACGGAGCGCGCCGCCCCGGGAAAGTCGGGGTCGTTCTCGGGGGACGGGGGCTGTCACTCGGGTTGACGCGGGAGTGCGAGGGTAGAAAGCCAGAACCGTCCTACCCTCGACTCAAGGGCTCTCTCTGCCTCTAGCAGGCGTCTGCCGGGTGGGTTATTTTGGAGATTGACATCATCTTACTCCTTTTCGTCGATTTCCCCCTCTTCCCTTTTCACTGGCAGCGGTCATTTCGCGGTTGCTGCTCTGATGTGTTATAGCAGGTCTTTCTTTCGTATTCCTAACAATCTGGAAACCTTTATATTCAGGCGTGTTAATTTATCCACCTGCTTAGAAGTTTCCTTTGGAAACAGTGTGTAATGAATATTGTTTATCAGGAGGTCAACCTGTTTGAGACGTTCATAGTTTCCCTTAAAATGTGGTATAAGGCCTAAGATGGGAAATGATAGGGTGTTCCTGGCATTTTGGCTAGTAAAAGTTAACGCTGTGATTTTTTTTGCCTATTAATGGCACAATTGCCATAGCGGAGTGGAATCACAAAGAATGATGCAGCGAATTGATTCACCAGCAGCTCAATGGGAAACAAACTTGCCTTGGTCCCAATACCTGTCTTCCTTAGAAATGCGCATTCTTATGTCAAGAGTTTCTTGAAAGTGTTGTACACTTTTCTTTTGACTGAATGCCCTAACAGTATCGAGGCTTTACTAGAAGAAATTCGGAATGGTAGTCGAACTTCCTTTCGTTTCGTTACAGTTGCAAAACGGGGTAGATATGTGAGAATTGCTTTACTGACTCCTTGACTGAGTTGTAGGGCAGCTTATCGAAATTAGGATGTTATTTCACTTGAAATAAAGAATGAATTGCATATGGGAATGAATGTACCCTTGTTTTTTTTTGTTTGTTTGTTTGTTTTTGAACACTGCATACTACTTTGGTCTCCTTCATTCTAGTAGAGGATGTTAATAAGACACTAATGAGCATTATGGAATGCTAGTGTGATAGAGAAGCAGAAAATAGAGGGTGTTTTTTGCTTTTTGTTTTCCCCCTTTTATTTCTGGCTCTTGGAATAACTTGTTTGTTCATGTAGATTACTTGGATTTTTTCTTTCTTTCTTTCTTTTTTCTTAAAGTAGTAAGAACATGTATATGTGTCTTGTATCAGTAATAGTTTCAAGATTCTAATGCCCTAATTGACTTTCTGTTTTTCAAATTTTGCTCCTGTCTTGTTTGCTGTGATGCTACTTGACCAACCCAAGACTGTTCGCCATGGATTTCCCTATCAGCCCTCAGCCCTGGCCTTTGATCCTGTACAGAAGATCCTGGCAGTGGGAACTCAGACTGGTGCTTTAAGGCTGTATCCTTTCCTGTACTTTTATTTATTTGTTTTTTAACTTTGACTGTATTCTCCCTAGTCCTGTTTTGCTGATTAATTCTTTTCCTGTTTAATTCCAAAGATCAGGCAATCAGGTAAATATTATGTGCAATTATGTAATGTTGGCTTTTCCCTTGATTTTATGTATATTAGGTTATATGTTGCTGTGATATTGGTCATTTTATAACTTATGTTAATTAGACATGTATCCACATAAAGATCTAAAGTTTTGTTATAGTAACTTCGTGAGGAGCAGGAATTTTTAAGTAGAGACAAATCTGCTTATACTGTTAAGTGGAATGTGTTAAAGATGAGGTTTAAAGATAGTAGTAGTGGGCATATTTTAATTGATTTTTAAAATACTGTGGTGGTAGATGTTGAACTGATGACCTATTTATTATTCTAGTGAATCAGAGGTTAAGTTTAATCTGGTCACTTCTGTCATCCATCCAGAAAGTCAATGGTAGAAGACAAATTTAGAAAAAAAAAAAGTTAGATATGAAGCATTCATATTTATACAAATTTTAGAGCTTTTCCTTTCATGTAAATGAAGGAGTGTGCTCCTCATAGGTTTTTCCTTTTATACATATAAGAACTTAGGTTAACCTGCTGTGTGGTGAGGTATTAGTAAAGATGAAATTATTGTTCCTGCTTTTGCATGAACTATTAATTTGATCCTAGCATTTTTTCAAATACACACTTTTCAAGATCATTCTTTTGGTCTGAACAATGGAAAATACTTCTCATTTCCTTTTTAAGCTACTTGAAATAAAATTGTGTTTGCTTTTACTGTGACATTTGTCCATACTTAATCTGAATACACTTAATTTTAAATGTAAGATTTTGAAAGAAAGAACTTTATCTGTAGGGCAGCTCCTTCCTACATTTTATTGAGATGGTGTATTACTAATAAAAAAAGATCATTAATTCATCTCAGTAGATACTAATACTTGTCAAAAAAAAATAGCTAGGAAAGCTTTACCCTTTACATTTAAGTTTTTCTGGCTTCTAAAATGAGAGAGTGGGGTCTGCATTTTCTAGTAACCTTTTAAAGTCTTCATCAAATAATTAGTATGGGCATCATGGTACGCCTAAAATGTGATTTATGTATTAGAGTACTGTCAGCACAATGCTATTAAAAGTTTTCAGATGGGTCATTGAATTATGTTACCAAGTGAAGTCTAACACCAGTAGTGAACTCAAACCCAGTAAAGTGGTAGAATCTGAGTAGCCACAATCTGAGTCTGAACTTCCAAGATAGTATGTCTGTGTGTCTTTTGCCCAAATTTTAGAGAGTTGAGACTAAAGTATCTTTTGGCTTCCATTTAAATGTCTTTATTCCTAAACCCCATCATCACTACCTCTAGGATTCCTATTTTGTCTTCGTAAAGATGGGAATAAAGTTAATTTTGTCAGAGTGGGCACTAAGTGTTAAGTATAATTCTGCAGTGACATGACTAATACATACTTAGATGTAGATAAACTCTGTGAAACTGAAAGCAGTTTTTTTGTTGTTAACAATGTCATTACTGAACTAGAAAGCTGAATTAGATCTTTTTTTTTAGATTATTTTGTTTTCAGTGGGTTAATATTTACTGTTTTCCCAGTATAACCAGCTTGTTTATGGTACATAGCTTTTTAAAATCTTTTAACCACCAATCTGTTCCTTACACAATTTAATGTAAGTGAATATTACCAGTGAACTTGATTTTTTTTTTTTTAATGAAACCAGATATTTTTCTTAGGCCAGATTTTTAACTCTAATACATTTGAGCAAGTTGGCACAAAGGGAGAAGTTAAAATGCTAGTTCACATGCCAATTGCCAAATCAAAGCTTTTCAGATACAGCTTTGATGTGTGTGTGTGTGAAGTGCTTATCATATATATATTATATATGTAGCAAATGTATGTTATATGTATTTAGATAGAAGCTATCTATATCATTCATATCACATATATAACATTTGCTGGTGCATATTTTTATAATTAAACATAAAAAGTATAAATGAAAATGAAGTATATAAGTACAAATGAAAGTGAACCAGGCTTACAATTCAAAATTTCTTCATCCCTCTCACTGTATTTAGAATGAAGTCAAGAAAACGTACTTACCAAATCTATTTCTACTTTCCCTTTTTAATGAGATTATATCAGCATTCCAAAGTGATAAATTCTTTTGCCTGCTAGTAATTCCACCTAGTCACTCCTTCTATTCAAGTTGCAAATGAGCTTACAAGCTTTGTTTATCATGGATTTGATTCATATAAAGTGATCAAGACCTTTTATTTTAATCTGATGATCTCCACATATGTGATTTAAGACATGTTTCTCTAAACCTAGATACCTAAAATGTGTAAGCTTTAATCTCAAAATTCCCTATAGTTTAACATGTAGAGTTTTTACAAGTTACTGTGTTATCCTTCCTCTTTTATATTATTCCATGTTACAGTTGGTTTCTTCTGGTCTTTTCTTTTACCCTCTTCTGTTGTATTCAATTTATCCTAAAAAAGGTCTTTGAAGTAGAAATATACTTCTAGATTAAAAAGTCTTTTCGTCTTTTCATTCATTTAATGACAAAGCACAAAGGAGTCGTTTTTCAGAATGTGATTGGGCTATTAGAATTCCAAGTGCACTTGTGATTTGACTAATAGGACATCTTAATTTTTAGAAGATGATACTGTGTAAAGCAAAACAAAGTATACACACTGATGTTAAAGCAAAACAAAGTATACACACTGTGGGAAAGTTACATCTGATACCTTATGGTTCAACAAAAATTAGTGAAAATCTGAGAATTTAAATAATATACCATTAAGGAGGTAAAATAAATTTAATGAGTTTACTGTATGGCAAGGGACTGATGATATATTTATGCTTTATATTCAACCTTCTTGGTTTATTCAGAGAATAAGAATCAGAATGTACTTGATAGGAAGCAGGTAAACGATTTTATGTATGCAATTAAATGTTGGTGATATAATTAATTATCTAATTTTATCTTTTTGCCATATATTAGTAGGTAGCTGTGTTTTATTATCTTGTCTGGAGATTAGAAGTTGGAATAAATTGTTTTCCTATGGGTGAGAGGGCCAGGGATGAGTCTACCTGAAGAATAAAGGCCTTTCTATTAATGTTGTATATATTATTTGGACTCCTGGCTTATAGAATAATTTTGTATTCTTTTGTACTGTGATGTGAACTTGAGCTTCCCTGATTCTACTTGTAAAATATTTCTGTCTTAACACAGTGAGGTCATTCTATATATAAGTATCTCAAGTACTAGGCAGGAAAATGGTATTTTAAATCTACTGAATTTTTGTAAAGTTTGTGTTTTTGTTATAATTGTCAGCATTTAAAGAGCATCATTTATCTTCTTGAGTTGAGAAAAATACAACTTGCAGGCAACCTCAGCTTTGATAAGGCAAGGACTGTCTTAAATGGCATTGTGATGTTGCTGAAGGCAGATTTATGAAACAGAGTTTGGACCTCAAAGTTCATCTAACTAGCATGTTAAGTGCTACATTAGATTATAAACTATGCCTGAATTCTAGTTCTTACCACTAAAGAACTAGATGTTCTTGATTTCTTTTTTTCCTTCTAAAATAACAGCTCTGCATTTAGATCATTTCTTCAAGAAATAATTCTGTGTTTCTAGGCAATTATTTATGTTCTAGGTGAATATACAAAAGAAATGAAAATGTGGTGCATACTGTCAAAAAAGTTTCATTCCGAATTAAAGGACTGAATTAGATAAATTGAAATTATAGACTTACTCAGTCAACTTACTGTACACAAAGTCAGATTAATAGGTGAATTATTTGGATTTGATGACATTTCTATGCTTAGTATATAATAGTCATATGGCCATGACCAGGAGGTAGGAGTGAGAAAATTACTCAAGGTGAGCAGTGTGGATGAAAGCAGAGGAAAGGGAATTGCAGAATTGCATGGTCGTCTAGAGGCATTCTCAAGAGCCTACTTGAAATAGTCACCCTTCATTGGGGCCAGAAATAAGGAGCCCATTGGTGGACAATGTGACTTTTAACCTGAGCTATCTGTATTATTCAGTGAGGACTCATTATAGTTATATAAGAAAATGCTGACGGGAGATGTGATTTTTAGGATGGCTAATGGTCCTGAATGAGAAGAATAGACCAAATGAGACTTCATAGGTAACTATTAATCGATATAGGTAATGTGGTGTATCCAAAACACTGGTAGAATGGAAAATGGAAAGGGACAGGATTTCTTTATATAAAATCTTTGAGGGAATAATGAAAAAATGGTAATGAAATCTTGCAAATACTTCAGAGACAAATTACAAGAAAAAAATGGGAAACTTATATAAAAGGATATTAGAGTAGTTGGAATTAGGAATTTTTCACCTTTTACTTTGGTCTTACCACCATTTTGAATATATAGCCTAGACTTCTTATTTTTAGCCTGACAATTTGATACTGCTTTTCCATTTGATTTCCTTTTGACTAGGTCTTTGGTGATTGTCTGGGCATTGTTATTGAGGTAGTTTAACATCACTATTATTGTTTGACTTTGTCCATTTATTCTTAGTAGTTCTCAAATAGTGATAGCATTTTGTGCAGGATTCTGTACGTGGTTCTGTGGATTTGTCCAGCACACTGCAGACTTACTAAGTGTTGGTGTTTTCTCTGTTGTACGTGTGAGAACCCAAACAATCCAGTGTACTTCCAGGTTACTTGGTTGAGAACCATTACATTTAGTCCAAGTTCTTTGCAAGTTAATATAATAAACCTACCTAACTGACAAAATTGGTATCAGAATTAATACAGTGATGTGTAGAGTCAAAAGCAGTAATGTATATATGCAGCTTTAAATCTTTGTAGGCACTGTTTTGGTGGTAATAATGATATTATTAAAATGAAAATTTTTATTACTTGCATGTAAGGCTCTTTATTTTAGCAAATACTTGTTGAGAGGCAGCCAACTACCAGGCACTGATTTCG